ATGTTAAGTAGTATAGGAGACCTTTAAAGAAGAGGATAATAAGTAGTTTTAATTGATTTTATATAATACTACTTAATTAACTTATATAAATAGCTAGAGGGTAGGTAAAGGTAAGCTACTTACTATAATAGGCTACTTACTATATATATACGTTATCTTTAGTAATATATATAATCTATATTTGTATTATTTTCTTAATTTCTTTGTTATATAACGCTTTTAGTAAACTAAAATAGCTAATATTAAGAGGTTAAAGCTTATATAATAAATAAAAAGGTATATAAAGAGTAATAATATTATGTTTCTTATAGTAATTATTAAACTTAGTAGACTTATAGCTATTATAGCTATTAAGGATTAAAAGCTACTTAATACTTTTTATATAAGACTTTATATACTTTTTAAAATACTATAACTAATTTAAGCTAATCTTATTTATAGTTTATTTATTTTTACTAAGGTAAATATGTTATTAAGGTAGGAATTAGTTATTAGTATACTAAAAGAAAAGGTAATATTTACTTTTAATAATAACGTATAAAGGTAATACCTAGTTATTTATATATATACTTTGAATAATAGAAACTTATTTGTAATTACTAAGCTATTTTATATAAGGCCTTTTTTCATAACGTATCTGTATAGCGAGTTACTACTTATAGCAAGTTGTTACCTTTCTCTTCTTTCTACCTCTTTAACCTTTATATTAACTTTCCTTTATATATAAACATATAATCCTCTTTAATTAAAAGTTATATTATTTTTACTATTTAAGCTATTAAATAAGACCTAAAAATGTCTATAAAAAAAGCAGTATTTATCTTTAAGGTCCCTTAAATAACACTATATAACCAATACGCTAGACGCGTTATATAAGCTGAAAGATGACTAAATTTAATAAAGATAATTATAATAAAAGAGGAGGTAATTCTTTAATAGGTTATTAACCTAATTAATTAAGGGTTTCTTTTGTAATAAGAAGATATATAAGATATAGCTAATTAACTTTTTTCTGAACATAACGTGACGCGTGTTAGACCTTGATAGGCAAAGAACTTCATATAATAATAACCCTAATTGAAAATGCGATTTTAATGTTAAATTAACTATTAGAAGGCCTTAGCTAAGGATCCTATAATTATACAAGGCTAGTTTATACTTATGTAAAACATAATTGTAAAATATAAGATATAAGATTATAATATCTATAATTTTAATAAGATTAGCTTCTTAATAGAAATATTGTTATATATAAAGGTTATTATAACTTCTAATTATAAAGGAAGACCTTATATAAAATAGCCTAGTAATTAGGAATAGGTTTCTGTTATTTAAGGTATGTATATAGATAACTAAGCGTTACCTCTGTACGTTATTATAAAGGGTAAATATAACCTTTTCTCCTAGTATATTAATAGCTAATTCTTAGCTATATAGCGTATTTATCTAAACAAAAATAGATAAACAATAAATAATATTAGCCTAGATTAGCTAAAGTACTTTAATTAGTATATAAGGACTTATATAAAGGGTTCTTATTAGCTTTTAATCCTTAATAGCTATAATAGCTATAAATTAATTAACTTTAATAAAAACTATAAGAAATAAAACATTATTGCTTTCTATATACCTTTTTATTTATTATATAAGCTTTAGCCTTTTAATGTTAAATGCTTTAGCCTATTAAAGTACTTATATAGTAAAGAAATTAAGAAAATAATATAAATATAGATTTTATATATTATAAAATATAACTTTTTCTTTTCCTTTAAAGTAATATTCTTTACTTTAATAGGTAAAAATAATATATAAGCTAGTTTTTAATAAATAGGCTTTATACCTTTCAACCTTAAAGTAGTTATTTCTTGTTTAGATTTTAAGCTAAAGATATTAATATTATTTAGCTTATAGCTAAGTAGCTAAGACTTTTAGGACCTTAAGATACTAATTATAGTACTAAATAGCGTATAAAGTACTAGTTCCCTTAAAAAAAGGATCTAGTAATATTAAAATAACTTATTAATAGTAATATATAAGATTATTAACTTTTAAGCTAAAGGTATTAATAAGTTAATATATAAGTTTACTTTTACTGAGGCTAAGAAGAAAAAGTATTATATAGTAGTAGAGATACTAAGTAAGCGCTAGAGAGCTAAAAAGACCTAACTATGTCTTAGAGGGTTACTTAATACTACTAAAGTAAAAGTACTATAAGTAGAAAAGGGTAGTGTTAATACTAAAGGAAAGAATAACCCCTAGAAGAAGAGTTATATAAAAGGTGTTAAACTATGTATATAATAATATAGTAATTATAGAAAACCTAGATATAATATATAAATATATAAAGTAGTTTAAGATAATAATAAAAAAGAGGGTAATAAGTAGTTTTAACTAATTTTATATATTATAGCTAAATTAACTTATATAAAAGGTAAAAGAGTAAAGGAAAGGTAGTGACTTACTATAAGTAGTAACTTACTATACAGATACATTAAGTATATTTAAGTATAAATAGCTTTATAGCTTTATAATAAAAGAATCATTTAAAAATTACTTATAAAAGAATAAATTATAAAGTTAATTACTAAAAAGTTATAAAAGGTATTTAATTTAGTTAAAATAATTATCTTTATATTTTTTTATTACCTTATTAAGACTAATCTCTTAAAGTTAGTCCTTAATAAGGACTAATTCTAGTATATTAGTCCTAGGTTATAAACTACTTATCTGTTATTAGTCTTTCTTATCTTTATATAACTTTCCTTAGTTCTTCTGTTCTAAGAGGGGGATTAACGTATTCCTGTGCTATCTCGCATATAACCTTGTCTTGTAACCGCTGGGCGCCCGTGGGGCGACCCTGGTTATGTTATGCTTGTTGGGTCGTAACAGATAACCACATATGTTCTTAGATAATCGGCGTCAACTCTATGCAATACAACTGGGGTTCATTGATCAAAGAGTGATTGTTAAGCTTAATAAAGGAATTTCCCTTATGCCGGTCGAAGCGAGTTCTGTCTTGTAGATAACCGTCTGCATATTGCAACAATGCAGATATACCCTCCTGAACTGCCTTTTATCCAGACAAAGGTATTAATCTAACACAACATCCGGCCGGAAAGTGAAGCTAGAAATTGTTAGACAGAAATGTGCCACGAGACTATGTGCACAGAAGAGAGGTTCCAAACTCTAATTAGTATCTGAACAAGCAGGAGCCTAAACGACATTGAGATACTGCCTGTGTCCCATTCCATAGTATCATAAGCAATTACTCAGTAATGACGTGTTGTTTGTAAGTAGGTCACTCTAATGGACAATTAACCCTTCTTACTACTGTAACGGGCTTGGCCTGTGTGAGGCCTTGCTGGACTTTGCGGCCACGATCGTAACTACGGACGAACCCTGATAAGACCCACTACGGAGCCTGTAGTGCCGACAATCATCGTTGATGGTCAGTGCGACACCGCCCTCATCAGACCGACAGCAAGAGGGAAATGCATGGTTTTTCTTTCTGATCCTCATCTGGGGATACTCGTAGTAGTCGCCATAGTGTTACGAGCAGGTCAGGGCAACCAACTGCACCACAAAGCAAAAGCTTCGGCAATGATGCGCCTGCATCATTATCCCCTGTTCTGCACTATATAGTTACGCCGGCCAGCACCCCAACTGGTTGGGCCGTAACATATAGCTAGTTGCAAATACTATTGCGTTCGACCGTGACACGATGCAGTAGCATAACCTAAACAAAGTAAAGTAATCCTGCTAAATGCTAGGCATACATAGTATAACCACCTAGGACAGATTTCGCTAGCTAAATACACATAATCCAATGGCACGTGCATTTAGCACGTAGCAAAAGGCCGGCCGGCTGATGAGGGGATTTTTCTGGACACATATCACAACAAGGATATCCTATCAATTGACGTACTTTGACAGATCGCCCTACTTTCGTCTCGGCTGTGCTGCCGCATTTCCTACTTCAACAGTTACATCAACTTCTTCGCGTGCTGGCCCGCGCGAACCAAACCCCGCCTCAGGATCTGCCGATAGATTTCCACTCTTTGGTCTTGGCATCCTAAAACAGTGGTCTTTTCGCGTACCACACTTTCGGACAAACGCGTATATGCCCAATCAACGTCCATTAGCGCGTACTTCAGCACTCACTCACTCCAGCTTTGCCTCGTAGCCTTGATTATATACTCAGATAATCAATGGGCCTGATGACGCAAGAGCGGATCCACTTGGCATTCTCAGCCTTCCATCCCCACCAACTTAGTTTCCGGTCCTTGTCGTCTTCCTCTTCCAGTGATTCTCGTCCCCATGTTTCCAACCCGCAAATGACGGGTAATATGATTTCTGTCCGCTTTCCTACACCTAGTGCTCTTAGATTAGCAAAGGACACATCACGAGAAAACTGGTACAAAATTTCTGTACTCGCCCTTTTTTAAGCTTTTGATTATTGAATCATCTAGTTAATCTCTTCACGTTGGAATCCAAGTCTGCGTATTGTCTAGTACGCTTGCTGTTTGTTTAAACTGCCTGTGTTACTTTACCCAAGTATTTGTTTACAGCTGACGTGTACGAGGAACGCGTATATTTATTCATTCGATGCCGGATCAAATAGTTAACGCATTGACGATTTTGGGAACGCGTTTAGCTGCGTTTGCCCTTCCGATTGGTTGTCGGCGACAGGCCCAGACGTGATCCCCGCGACGGGGAAACAATTTCTTACTGCTGCGACGGATGAAGGATAAATATAATACGCTGCTGCCCTATCATTGCGGTATAATAGCCTGTTATAACCCAAGGTCTACGAAATACTGATCAACATCATACCTTCAATTCCTCAAACTCCAGAGAATGGCGGCCCTCTTCGCTCCTCGTCTCCTTCTCTTGGTCTTGTTGCTGAGTGCCATAGCGGTGGCTCAAGTTCCCAATGACTTACCCGTGGACGACGCGACGAAGAAATATCTCGAAAGCCTGCCCCCGACAAGCTGGCTGCGATGCTGAGGATATTCGAACTCGCCCTTGCCGGCCAGGTCCCTGCATCACCCGATGTGATTTCGGCACAGGAACTCGCTTGGAGTTACGGGCATAGCCCTCCAGTATACCCGACACGTGAGTTTAACAGGTCTTACCAGCTTTGCTGTAGTATAGCAGCTTTGAGTAGCGTGCAACTGATGAACAAGGGGTTTTTTAATCAGCTTTGGGAAAGGGACTTGGAGATTGGTCTGATGCCTATAAGAAAGCATCGGCACTCGTTTCACAGATGACAGTTGATGAGAAAGTTTCCGTGACATCGGGACAAACAACTACCACTAATGGTTGCGCTGGTATGATTCCAGGAGTGCCGCGTCTGGGGTTCCCGGGCATATGCGTCCAAGACGGCCCCAATGGCCTTCATGGAATTGAGGCTGTGAACGGCTACGCATCTGCCATTACCGTGGGTGCGGCATGGAATAGGGGACTGGCTCTCGCACGTGGCTACCATATGGGTCTGGAGGCTAAGAGCAAAGGAGGTAATGCATCTCAGTCTCGGATTTCTTCGATTACGCTTACCTAACTTTGCATTACAGTAAATAGCCTGCTGGGGCCTACGATAGGTCCACTCGGCCGCACTGTCCTCGGCGGTAGAAATTGGGTAAGAATATTCCAAAGCATATTCCTACGTTTAGTTTAATGGTTGCATGTCTGACAGCGGTCTAGGAATCCTTCTCTGTCGATCCATACCTCTGCGGTGTCATGGGTGCTCACACAGTTTTAGGCATACAGAACCACGTCATTGCTACTGCTAAGCACTTCATCGCTAACGAGCAGGAAACCAATCGCAACCCAAGTACTTTCGGTTTAGGTAATGCGTCTGTCTCGGCCACTATTGACGATAAGACGATGCATGAATTATACCTGTGGCCATTCCAAGATGCCGCCAAAGCCGGTGTTGGATCGGTTATGTGCTCATATAACCGGATTAACGGCTCTCACGGCTGCCAGAATAGCTACACTCAAAATGGCTTGTTGAAAACCGAGCTCGCATTCCAAGGCTTTGTCATTACTGACGCTGGAGCTTTGCACAGCGGGGTTTCGAGCGCCAATGCCGGTACGGATGCGACCACGCCTTTCACTGAGATGTGGGGAGGCAACCTTAGCCAGGCAATAGCAAATGGCACCATGTCCGAGAGCAGGCTTGATGATATGGTCACTCGGTAAGCTTGAGAATATTTCTGCCGGTCCATCTGAAAGTTAACAGTACTACAGAATTGTAGCAAATTGGTTCAAGTACGCCGATTTTGAACCCGGGACTGGCCTCGTGGTTGATATCTCAAAACCACACGAGGTCACCAGCTCGATATTTCCCGAATCGAAAAAAACCCTCTTCCAGGGTGCTGTTGAGGGCATTGTTTTGGTTAAGAACCATAACAACACCCTCCCTCTACAGAAGCCAAAGATTTTGTCTCTGTTTGGCTATGACGCTAGTACGCCTCTGAAGAACACCCCGGAAGGTCCTTATAACAAGTGGAGTCTTGGGTTCCAGAGTGTCAACGTTACCGACGAAGAAACGATTGGCCTTGCCATTGGCGTAGGGACGCTTCCGGGTGCTGCTCGTCTTGGCACGCTCGTCAGCGGCGGTGGCAGCGCTTCAAATACACCCGCGTACATGGATTCTCCTTACAATGCTTTCCAACAGCGCGCGTTGCAGGACGACACATTCTTGGTCTGGGACTTTGAGTCACAAGATCCTGTTTATGCTAATGGGGGTTCTGACGCGTGTATCGTCTTCATCAACGAGTTCGCTGCAGAAGGCTCCGACAGAGTCTCGCTGGCCGATCCATGGTCAGACCAGCTGGTCAAGAACGTTGCTGGAAAATGTGCCAATGTGAGTATATTTCGCGCTTTGTGAACGACCCTGGCTTGAGTTACGGAATCTCGTCCATCATCTTGTTTGATTCGTTGAAGCTGATCGCACCGACGTGCACAGACCATAGTTTCAATCCATAACGCCGGCACTAGGCTGGTAGACCAGTGGATTGATCATCCAAATGTTACAGCCGTCATATTTGCCCATCTACCCGGCCAACATTCGGGGAGTTCACTTGTAGAGATCATCTATGGGGAACAGTCTCCTTCCGGGCGTCTACCATACACGGTCGCTAAAAACGAATCCGATTACGGCGACTTGTTGATGCCTGTAACTGCCGACAACATCTCAAACTACTATACGTCAGCCAACTTCACTGAAGGTGTCTATATTGATTATCGCCGCTTTGATGCGTTCGATATAACACCCCGGTACGAATTCGGCTTTGGCCTCTCCTACACGACCTTTGAGTACTCAGGACTCGAACTCAGCCTCGCTTCCAAAGGAATCAATGCATCGGCCCTTCCACCCCCAGGACCTGTCACTCAAGGCGGGCAAGAATCTCTCTGGGACATTATCGCTGTTGTCTGTGGGGACGTCAAGAACACCGGGACCGTTGCTGCCTCAGAAGTTACCCAGCTCTACGTCGGCATTCCAAACGGTCCAGTAAAACAGCTGCGTGGGTTCGAAAAGATTCTTTTACAACCAAAGGAGCTCAAGACGGTAACTTTCCCGCTTACGCGAAGGGATCTAAGCACATGGGACGTTTTCCAACAGAACTGGGTTCTTCAGAAAGGGGAATACACCATTTACATTGGCGCGAGCAGTCGTGACGTGCGTCTGACGTCGAAACTGGTTCTTTGAGTGATTGAATTGTCGGCCGGAAAGTGTTCGACTATGATCGACTATAATGCTGGCCTCAACCTATTCTTAAATGAATACTGTTTAACATAATATCTCTTTCTCTCCAGAAAGGTGCAGAAAAGCCTAACTTTGAAAACCTCATAGAAGAGAGTATAGTTGACTTATTGAAGAACCTTTTTTTATTAAAGTTATTTAAGCCTCACCGGCCACATTTTGGATCGGGTCAGTAAATCACTGCTTCGATATTCAACGGAACGACACGGGTGGCTTTGAAACCTGTGAATGGCTAACTGCTCCGTCGTAGAAATAACTAGCATCGACATGCATAACCCCAGGGAGAAAATGCATTTCATGATATGGGTGTTTTGCATCCACGTCGTCTGGTTAATTACCTTCTCATGCAAAACTTCAAGCAGGCCAAAACACGCAGAATCGAGGGGTTGGAAAGTTCTAAAGGACCAAAACTGCATTAAGAGTGAAACGATGTTGTTGAACTCGTAAGATTCGTCGGGTCCGGAAAAATGATGCCTCTAGTGGTCACTGAAGACCAGGAGACTTTTCACACTAGCTGAAAGAGGTTTGGTAAACCGCCCAAAAAGCGTGCATCTGGCCCTTCACGGCATGACAATGCTGGAAGCTACGGTGCCAGCAAGTGGACAAAATAACATTAACTTGATCAATTGAACACATCAATGGTCCAAACTGCAGACTTAACTGGGTTGCAAGCAGTCGCCGCCCTTGGTACTGGTTTGTGACCTTGTGCTAGTTAGGCTTGCCCCAGCTGTGTAACATGAAGCTATCCACAATAACCACTTCAAGCAAGAAGTCCCAAGCAATTGACTGCCAGCCTCCTCGACGAATAGGGCGGCAGTATGACCTCATACGGTCACCTATATCAATACCGCCGATCTTGCGGCTATATTTAGTCAATTGGTATAAGAACTGGCCGGTCCTTTCGGACGTCGGGGCCAAAGCCTTTCCGGGCAGACCACTTTGCAGCGGTATCTCCGGCCTGCTGGGGCCGGCCCCGGATAAGCTGCTCGTCCTTAGCAAGGAAGAGCAAAAAAGCATTGTCTTTCCAGCTTTAATGGTCGTCTTGAAGTGTGCACGTGATTTGAGTCAACGACTTAGCGATTCAAACTCAGTGGTTGCCAACATCATTACTATGAATCACGAGGCGCTTGTGTCCAAGCTCCGTCGTTGGGACGAAGAGGTGGCAGTGCATGATGCGTCAGTTCTTTCTGGCTTGATTAGCAGCCTTCTCTAAGCAACGGCTGATAGCATCTACTCTGGATGAAGTTTTGAGGCACATAAAGCTTTCACATTTCTCTTGATGCAGTATCACACAACATTCTAGCATCGTGAGCGGCAAGTTTGTCGTTTCCCACTTGAAGATTACCAGTGAACCTGCACAACGGTCTGGTACAGATACACTGACCATCATTGACATAAGCCAAGACACTCAGGAATATTCCGGAATATACAAATCTCAAAGCTTATAAGACTCATAATCATGTAACGATAGGGAATGGATATGAGAGATGATTCATGGGTTTTTTTGGTTTTTTGGCTGATTCATCCATGACACAACCAATACTCACGTCCCTCTCTTGTCGCTGCAACAGTTCAACTAATATCTTGAAACATCGGCTGAGGTGTAATCGATGAGTTCTTGGACGCATTCTAAACTTCGTTCATTGTCGACCACCACCTTCGGCCATTGGTCTTCCTTCCCACAGCCTTCCTTTCGAGATACTCTGTCTCAATCGCCTCAAGGCTCCGATTCTTTGTTTCAGTCATGTAAACCAAGCAAACAACAAAGCATACAGTTATACAACTACCAAAGAAAAAGTAAGGCCTAGAAGAGGAGGTAGCTAGAAAGGGCGGCGTTGTTAATGCCACAATAAAATTAGCTACCTAGTTAGCGCTCTGCCCCAGCGCAGCACTGCTTGACCTCACTTAGTGCAGTAGGCTCTCTACTAGGAACGCCCTGATACATATAGCCCATATTGTATTAAATATAACTACAAATACATAGATAAAGACAATCACAACCTATCATCTAGCTCCTATATTAAAATATACTAGGTTTATAGTATACATAGATCTAATCAGAAATATTACAAAGATAATTCTAATACTATTAACTAGTATAGCAGTTTAGTAGCCCTAGTAATCTACAAATATGGTCACTAGAATAGTTATAGCTATAATAAGGATCACAGAGACTCTGGACGCTAAGAACATAGCTTCTTTAGAGGCTATACCCGCCTGTTAAAACAACAGCAGGGCATAGTACAATATACTATTAATACTAGACAATTATTATAAAGCTATAAGGAAACATCTGAAAGCAGTATAAGATCTAAATAGAGATAAAAAGGCCTTTTAAAAGTCTTTGAAAGTCTTTTAAAGTTTATTGTATATACTAGTATTTAAAGACTATATTAAAGCTTATTCTATTAGTTTCAGTATTTCCTATTGTTCTCCCTCACTAATACTAAGTTAAGAAACTACTAAGTAAGCTCTGTTAACTTACCTATTAGCAATTAGCTAGTAAAGAGATAATAGAACAAAAAGCGTTGTTATAGCAAGACTAAAAGCAAGAGTTAATTTAATAGCCAAGAGAACACGCTATAACGCTAAAGATTCTATTATATACCTTATACTATAGTAAATAAAGTAGCCTAAAGCAAGACCAGCAGTAATCATAAACTAAGAGAATATGACCTAGAAGTTATATACTTTTATTAGGCTTATTTTACAGATTTAGACGGCAATAGTGCTAATAAATAATCTAGTCCTAAGACCCTTAACAGCTTAACCAGCAATAAACATGCCTAGATATATAGATCTACACTCAATAGCTGCACTAAGACTAAACACTGCGGCTCCAGATAATACTATAGCAATACGTCCATACTAGTTGGCTAAAGCGCCAGCGAGCATGGCGCTTATAGCTCCAGTTATCAATAGAGTCAAGATAATGGCACCGTGAACTGTCGCAGAGAATTCACTGAATGCTTCTTTGAACGCCGACATAGCCGTGATTGGACCAATGCTACCAGTGTCTAGTCTGAATAAACGGCGAGTTAGTCTTTAAGTACTCTCTATCTTCTGGATGTAGTGCGGTTACCCCCATAGCGATAAGACAGCTCCGGTAGCGATACAAGATTTAACATAAACCGGTGACATTTTGAAGGCTGTGATTCCGAGGCTTTCCTATTTGGTATCTTATGAAGTAACAAAAGCACGAAACCAAAAGGACCGTTGGAAATTTTCTGTGCGACAGGTTAACTTTAAGCATGCCAGACTTGCCCATCATTTAAGACAAAAATCGCACTGGCGCTAGTCAATCGGGCTGCTTGCATGCCCCTACCTGCGCGAAAAAACGCGAGTGAACGGCTTTCCGTAGGTAGTAAATCCGAGCACCTACTACAGGCATCATGATAGCCGCACCTACGGGTGATGTGTGAGAAGATTCCTCTTGCCTTGATTGGCTATGCTAGACCATACAGTTGATGATTGATCGGCTAGGTTGCCAGTGGCAGGAGCCCTCCACTAGCGACGGAACGTACTCGGCGTGAAGGGTTACTGAGTCCGGCTTAGTGGAAACTACTCGGATCCAACGGGCAACTGTGACAGTTGGGACCCAGTTTAATAATACCGCAAACTCGGCAAAATTTCTGAATGAAGTGCTACCTGACTCGGGTGATCCTGCGTTGCTTTCCGCGCCTACGTAAAAACGCTGGAGGAAGGTTCCAGTTACGTCATCTGACACTGGAGACTAGAAGCTTTTTTATCGTCTAAATGACCCAAGGAAATTTTACCGACTGATGGTTCTTTGTTCCATTTAATCGCTATATTTTGATTTGCATGAAATGACAAGAATTGATAGGCAAGGATATGTAAGTTCAACTCGGCTTCAACTCGGAAACTGCCATTGGCTAATCAGTGCCTAACTCGCAAGCTACTCTCAGGGAAAATAAGCAGAGTAGATTTGATGATGACGACGATGTATTTAACGTCCAGGGTAATGAGGGACGTGCCGGGCTGTGCCGACATAGTCGATGCCAATCTAAACTATTTTACAGGCTGACGCCTTCACCTAACGTTCCTGTTCAACGACTCGGGCAGATTTCGGAGGGGAATTGGTCGCCTCCATCCTTTCGCATAGAAGGGAGGCTCCCTGTGCGGAGCCTAGTAGGACCACCATGCCTCTGATGCATAGTACTGAATGGGTAATACGCAGGAGGTCATAGCGAGGCAAAGCAGGTGTGCCGGCGCACGCCAGATGGTGTTCCCTAGGCCCCGTAGTCCATTGACCACACTTGGCAGGCTTTGGCGCAGAGGTCTTTCAGATGGTTCTTGAATGTGAGTCTTTGGTCGAGGTAGACGCTAAGCTACCGTAGGGAGCCCCATTAGTCTACGGCCAGAACTGTGTGCTGTCTCCCGTCCAACAGTTCTATAGTTGTTAGCGGGTTTTTTGTTTTTGTGTCTCTTGGTAAAGTGGATAAGCTTGGATTTATTGGTGTTGAAAGTGATCCCCTTTGACGCCCCCCGTTCTTAGATTTCTCCCTATTCTTTAGCTAGCAGGACACAGTTGGCCTCTAGCGAAGTTAAGCTTTCTAGGATAGTAACGTCATCAGCATAGCCAAATCAAAACCGTTTTCTTCTAGGATAAACAGTGCCTAGTTTAAGTAGAGGTTTAATATAGAGCATGAAGAGGATAGGAGACATAGGTAAGCCTTATAGTAAGCCACAATTAAGGTCAAAGACGTCTCTTATCTCCTAGTCTAGCCTTATCTTTGCTCTTCTCCCATAGAAAAACCTTAAAACCTAGTACACAAGGTTCTCTGGCTATACTTAGCATCAGAGGCGTCAGATCAGCCTCCCTGACAGCACAGCCTCAAAGGCCCCCTTTACGTCAAGCGTAACCATAAAGGCAATAAGGCCTCTTTGCTAAGCACACTTAATATTATAGATGTCAGTAGCGGTGA